TACATCGCAGCGCTTCAAGTTCAACTAGGCAAAACCATGTAACCTAATACTTTGGAATATTATTCCTAGCTAGACTAAAAGGAAGTGCCTATTCTCAATTTTTCAAATAATATCACAAGTACTACAGAGATTCTGCAAGTTTTATTTTCGTATAAAACGCATGAAACATTCATTCTTTGACTTAACACTTCATACGTGAAGATGGCAAGATGAAAGAAACATTTTTACCGAGTGCGCACTGGTTTGATTCACCCTCTTGAAAGACTCAGAAAAAAGTGACCCGGGAGGCTGTGACGATGTTAAATTTCTGTTTGTAAAGCACGAGAGAAACCAGCGCGTGTTATTGGCGTGCGCCAAGCCCGTGTTTCCAGTTCATTTACTGTTACCAGGAAAAATAAAAAAACCCCCAATATAGAGAAGCTCCGGGTTGTATTTCTTTGAACAGATTTCTTACAGCATTTCTACGCTACAGCCAGTCTTCGGAGTTCATCACCTGAGCACACGCCATGCCTGGAATCCTGTAACCACTGACATTTTTATCAACTTTTTCGTAAACTTTTAGCAGAAAACACCTATGAACTGAAGACACTCTCTGCTTCACAGCAAATACTCTTTGAAATCATACTAATACAACTAGAACGCAACGAGCATCAAGCGGATCCCTACTTTACAAAGCACAGCGCGCGGGCGCGTTGCCGTTCAACGCTGCGGTACGGGGCTATGAGCATTTCTGCCCACAGAACCCTGCCCCTGAGGGAACAGGAGTTTTCAGCAAGCGCGTTCCCCACTTGCGTCGCAGGCCAATCGCCGTTACCAGGACTGCAAGTCACCTGGAAACAGGACAAGATTTAAAGCAAGGGGGCGGGGGAAGTAACATTACCTTTTTCACATTTATCTTCTGATGTATTCGCCAGAAGCGGTGCAGTAAGAACGTGCATACAATGGTTGTAGAAGAAATTAAGAAATTCACTTTTTTCTGTTTTCTAAAAGAAATACAGCTGCATTAGGCACTCGCATTTGTATACTCCCTTTTAAATAAGAAAGAGCAGCAACATAAGAGACAGCCTACAAATAATTCCATCAACTCTTTTTGGTTGGTCCCGCAACATTATCTTCACTCAGGTAAGAGATACTTCTTTATTTTGGGAAGAGATCCGAGACCCATCGGACCAACCTAGCCATCACCAAAACCCCCACGGGCCCACACATGCCACTGCACTGAAGCACAGGACTGCTTAGTTTAACACACGCTTGCCCAATGCCACACACACCTTTTACTACCAAAAGTTAATGGAAATTTTAGCCTATTTTTTAAGCTTGTTTAAATTCAGTATCAACTATCCACACCACCATCAAAAAAGAATAAAAATATAATTTTTTTTAATCCTCTGACCACAATAACAGCAATAAATACCAGGCTTTTAATTTTGCTGAGACAGTAAAGCGTCTTTACCCCTTTGTATTTTCTTACATTAGCTGTGGCCAACATATTCTCTGGATCTATCAGAGTACGCAAGAGCCCCATTAACTGAACAGCTCCCCCAAGTTCGGGGTCAGTATCGCAGATCATCTGCTCAATGACCACATTGATGAGGAGGATATCCTGCAAAAAAACCCAGACAAACAAACACACCACAAAGTAATTAGACACAGTTTCAGTAGCAGAGTGATTTCCCTAGTTTCCATATTAGGCCCCGTGTCCGTCCGTCCCGTCCCCCCCCCTTTTTATTTTTTTTGTAAATTTAAGTGGAACAGAACAAGTGAGCGCTGCATTTAGACCCCGGAGTTCTGCCAAGCACAACCCTCCTCACCTAAATTCACTGTTCGGCAGACCCACAGTCTTGTTCCTGGAAACACACCCAACACCAACATGCTCAGAAATTTTTGTATCTTCCATCCACTTTTTCCTATGTTTCTAGTATCTACATTTTAGGGCTAACTGCATCCCAAATTCTGGAGAGGTTTGTTTTGCTGGCTTTTCTTCCCGTTTGCTCTAAAACTAGTACATTCAACAAACTCCCAAACACTTTTGCTTACATCATCACTCTGCTGGGCCTCTTGCATTACAAATTCTCGGACCATGGATGGACTAAATTCTACTAGATAAGAAAATATATCTGTAGCAGCAGATCTAACTTGCAGATCATCCATTCCCTATTAAAAAGAAGAGATCAGTTCATCACATTTGTTTTTATTATCGAGTAAAGCTGCAAAGAATATGGAGTTACAAGTTTTGAGAACATTTTATTACAAAAGTTTCTGTGAAAGACACAGCAATACAGTTACAGAAAAAAACCCCACCAAACAGCAAAATCTTTTCCCCGCTATTTACCTCCTTTAGCAAGAATGCAAGGATTTCTGTGAATTTGATAGCCCTAATTTAGGCAGTAAACGTTTATATCATGCTTTTTGCCGGAATATCTAAGACGCTAATATGCTGTCCCTGTTACCCACAGTTTATTGATTTCATACAAAAGGACCAAGTGTACAAATCAATTTGTAAAAAAAGTTTCTGTACTCATTTATAGTCAACAAGAATTGGTAATTTTCCCTTACAGTGTGCAATTTTCTCTGATAACTGTACAGTTTCTAAGCCTAAAACATTAACGTAACAGGAAACAGCTGGACTGGTCTAGCCCTGGAAAAGAACAGTAAGATTGGGGTTCATCTGATCACCAAACATCTACGTGACTTTTATGTTTTACTAACAGTTGGTGTATCATAGAATCATAGAATGTTTTGGGTTGGAAGGGACCCCTAGAGGTCATCTAGTCCAACCCCCCCGCAGGAGCAGGGACACCGCTTTGGTAAATTCACAGGTTTTTATCCTAGAATATAAAACCCCCCTGAATTCCAAGTGTCTGCAGGGGGCGGGGGAAGTAACATTACCTTTTTCACATTTATCTTCTGATGTATTCGCCAGAAGCGGTGCAGTAAGAACGTGCATACAATGGTTGTAGAAGAAATTAAGAAATTCACTTTTTTCTGTTTTCTAAAAGAAATACAGCTGCATTAGGCACTCGCATTTGTATACTCCCTTTTAAATAAGAAAGAGCAGCAACATAAGAGACAGCCTACAAATAATTCCATCAACTCTTTTTGGTTGGTCCCGCAACATTATCTTCACTCAGGTAAGAGATACTTCTTTATTTTGGGAAGAGATCCGAGACCCATCGGACCAACCTAGCCATCACCAAAACCCCCACGGGCCCACACATGCCACTGCACTGAAGCACAGGACTGCTTAGTTTAACACACGCTTGCCCAATGCCACACACACCTTTTACTACCAGAAGTTAATGGAAATTTTAGCCTATTTTTTAAGCTTGTTTAAATTCAGTATCAACTATCCACACCACCATCAAAAAAGAATAAAAATATAATTTTTTTTAATCCTCTGACCACAATAACAGCAATAAATACCAGGCTTTTAATTTTGCTGAGACAGTAAAGCGTCTTTACCCCTTTGTATTTTCTTACATTAGCTGTGGCCAACATATTCTCTGGATCTATCAGAGTACGCAAGAGCCCCATTAACTGAACAGCTCCCCCAAGTTCGGGGTCAGTATCGCAGATCATCTGCTCAATGACCACATTGATGAGGAGGATATCCTGCAAAAAAACCCAGACAAACAAACACACCACAAAGTAATTAGACACAGTTTCAGTAGCAGAGTGATTTCCCTAGTTTCCATATTAGGCCCCGTGTCCGTCCGTCCCGTCCCCCCCCCTTTTTATTTTTTTTGTAAATTTAAGTGGAACAGAACAAGTGAGCGCTGCATTTAGACCCCGGAGTTCTGCCAAGCACAACCCTCCTCACCTAAATTCACTGTTCGGCAGACCCACAGTCTTGTTCCTGGAAACACACCCAACACCAACATGCTCAGAAATTTTTGTATCTTCCATCCACTTTTTCCTATGTTTCTAGTATCTACATTTTAGGGCTAACTGCATCCCAAATTCTGGAGAGGTTTGTTTTGCTGGCTTTTCTTCCCGTTTGCTCTAAAACTAGTACATTCAACAAACTCCCAAACACTTTTGCTTACATCATCACTCTGCTGGGCCTCTTGCATTACAAATTCTCGGACCATGGATGGACTAAATTCTACTAGATAAGAAAATATATCTGTAGCAGCAGATCTAACTTGCAGATCATCCATTCCCTATTAAAAAGAAGAGATCAGTTCATCACATTTGTTTTTATTATCGAGTAAAGCTGCAAAGAATATGGAGTTACAAGTTTTGAGAACATTTTATTACAAAAGTTTCTGTGAAAGACACAGCAATACAGTTACAGAAAAAAACCCCACCAAACAGCAAAATCTTTTCCCCGCTATTTACCTCCTTTAGCAAGAATGCAAGGATTTCTGTGAATTTGATAGCCCTAATTTAGGCAGTAAACGTTTATATCATGCTTTTTGCCGGAATATCTAAGACGCTAATATGCTGTCCCTGTTACCCACAGTTTATTGATTTCATACAAAAGGACCAAGTGTACAAATCAATTTGTAAAAAAAGTTTCTGTACTCATTTATAGTCAACAAGAATTGGTAATTTTCCCTTACAGTGTGCAATTTTCTCTGATAACTGTACAGTTTCTAAGCCTAAAACATTAACGTAACAGGAAACAGCTGGACTGGTCTAGCCCTGGAAAAGAACAGTAAGATTGGGGTTCATCTGATCACCAAACATCTACGTGACTTTTATGTTTTACTAACAGTTGGTGTATCATAGAATCATAGAATGTTTTGGGTTGGAAGGGACCCCTAGAGGTCATCTAGTCCAACCCCCCCGCAGGAGCAGGGACACCGCTTTGGTAAATTCACAGGTTTTTATCCTAGAATATAAAACCCCCCTGAATTCCAAGTGTCTGCATAACAGCAGCACTGACGTACGGATCGCAATGGTCAGGCAGCAACAGCTGCTTCAACCAAAGGAGTGAAAAAAAAAAATATTGTGTTTTCACATTGCTGGTTAAGATAGATTAATCTGCTTTATACCTCTGAAAAGGCAGGATTACATGATCTTTTGGATAGCAACAAGCTAACAGTTCAAGATTATCTAAAAATACTTATTTGGCACTGTTCCAACAATAGAAAAAAAAAAAATCAAGCTGTCACATGAAAAAGAATACCTTTCAATTTTTACACTCTGCTGTCAAAAGGACTGCATTTACCACAGACTTCTCCATCATGTAAAAAGAAGTAAAACCAGTAACAGCAATAAAGTTTGGCTACTTCAGCAAACTGGGGGCACCTTTTGAATCCTGAACGTTACAGTAAGCTTCGACTTTCAGCAGAACAAAGCCACCCAAACTTACACAAAGGTGCTTAGCAGATCTGAGGAGGTTAATGGCTGTGGGGTTGGTTTTTTTTTTTTCTTTCATTAAAATCAGCGTTAATTTTCACTTACCATTACAATTTCAAGAGCTGGAAGAATTCCCAACTTTGCCAAAGTTTTGAAAAATGCATCTCTGTTCTGAGGTTGTAACGTCTGAGAAAACGCGCAGAATTCCTTGAAGAAGTTAACCTGTATCGTATAGGACAAAATAACTTCAGGCGTGTTTGATCCAGAGAACTCTCTGAAAGTAGGAAACTGTTACAATTTGTGTCAGAGTTTGCGTACTGGCTGGTACAGGCCTTCCTAGAAAATGGTATTAGTCTAGTCCTTTCTCCTCCAACAACATCAACAAAGGAAAGCAAAAGAAAGTAAAACCAAACAAATTTAAGAGGCTGAAATTTACCTCAGAAAGAGACACAGGCACCTCGTGGCTATGTTATCACATCTAGCACGTGAAAGATTTACACTCCTGCCCGGTGTGTGCCTTTTGTTTGAAAGAACAGCGATGTTTCCCTTGCTAAAAGCAAGATTTTAACAAGGCAATTTAAGCTGATAAATGTATTCAAGGATAAATAATATCTGTAATAATATATATTAAGGGACTACTGGTAATCCTCAGTCACAGGACTTAAAGACCTTTCTAAGTAAGTGAAGTAGAGTGAAAAAAGCAGTGTTTACATGACAAATATAAGCGATGGGGTGTGTTGAGAAGTACTTGGAAGAAAGCGTACCTCTGAGTCTAGGATGTCAGCTGAGCACTAGTACTTTCTCAACAATAAAATAATTATTTAGAACAAATAAATCAGAGTTTACCTTGCAAGAAATATTTTTGTAGTGCATACATAAACGAAGACTGAGCTACACTGGAAGTTATTCTAGGGTTACCGAAAGACCTGAATGACTGCAGAACACTTTCAAGATCTCGACTTAATCTTTCAAGTTTAAAGCATTCAAAAAACTACCCAGACCACTGACTTACCAGTTCACATCGTTTGTCATCATCCGTAGCTTCATCTGTTAATTGTGCAAAAACTTCGGACAAAAATTTCTCGTCTTCCTGCGTTAACACATAAGAAGAATATGACTTACACGATGCACCTTAAAAGTTAAAACATGGATCTTTATTGGATCCCGCACTCAAAGTCAAACTCAATTTAAACTTAACTGCGATGCTTAATTACAAACAAAACCCCCACGTGTTAGTAGATCTGGTAGATGAGCGCGTGGTTTATTTCCCCTCCACACCTACATTATTTTATCACCAGCAAGGGAAATGCAAGAGTACGCATTCAGGAGGATCACTTCTAGTGTGGCGTTTCAGGTCTCATTCTGTGCAGCGGAAGCAGGTCCAGGAGACCAGAACCATACGTTAAGCTGAGCACAGGTGAGGATTACTAACCCAGGACATCTCCCTTCCTTCGCTCGCCACGCCTGTAGTTTACAGCTCTGCCCTGCCCCACACGCTGGCTGGATCATTGCCTCACCCCCCTGTGCATCAGAATGACAGAAAGCGAGGGTCTTTGTGCCGGGCTCCCCCCCAGCCCCGTGTGGGTAACCTGCCGGGGAGGCAGCCTGTACGCTTCTACGCCAGAAACTGCCAATCGAGATCACAATTTTTACCATGCTGCATCTGCGCTGCTCGCACTACGCGGTTACCATCACCCGTGTATCAGTTATCCTCCTTCGGATCTGCAGCACTGCGAAGGTTTTTCCAGCCCGCCTATGCGCGGGTGACTGGATTAAGGCATCACGAGTTTGCTGCAGCCAGCTCCCCGTTAGCCTTGCCCTCAATCAAACAAGCTCCCCCCCTTGCAGAAGTTCAGCTTTTCCAATCCGGGAAACTTTTTTTTGTGTATTATATGCTTTTCATATTCAGATCTTCCACTACCACGAGATATTTAAGCATATATAGGACAACATTTCACTTCTTGTTAAGCATTTCAGTTACACCATTGCTTAATACTCAAGAGGCACAAAAGAAAACCAGGGTGATCATCATCATCATCTCCTCTCAACCCCTTGGGCACTCTCTGCCCAATCTGTGCATTGATTTCTCTGCACTCCTTCCCATGGAACATAGCGTTGGCATTCTCTCAAACCAAATGTCTCTGTTTCCTTTTAAACACACTATAAATCTTAAAGCGAACAGTAACATTACGCTACAAGCATCACAAAATTATGCATCACTGTACCCATTCAATTCTATAAACTTTACTTGTGCACTGAACGAACACGAACGGAATAGCAGCATTCCAATAAATATATACAAACATTACATGGCATAACGTAGAGGGTGCTTACTTCTCTATTATTCTGTGTGCTGTCGCTAAAATCTAAGTGCTTTATTAGGCTAACATAATACAGAATTTTCACAGTTACAGGAATG